ATGTTTTAAACTCCAATATTAGCTTACTTGAACTTGCTAAAGCTTATAAAGCAAGTATACAAGAGGAAGTTAAAAAAGCAAAATATGCTTATTTGAAAAATATAAATTTTATTAGTATTGTTTGCTACTACATTATTGCAAATACTATTTTCTAAACTTAATAAAGCTTTGAGTTAGTTTATTATATCTAAAATATAAAAAATTCAGTAGTACACTAAAATTAAAAGCTGTTTAAATTATTATGTGTTTGCTATTACAAAAGATAAAAGGATTAAATATCAAGAGGTATATATTATATTGTTTTTTAGAAATTCTAATAGTGCAAATATTCTAGCTAAACTGCTGGGTAGTTGTACTGAAGAAAAAGCAAAATATGCTTTGAAATTATAGACCAAGAGGAAAGTAACTATGAGGTATCTAAAGCCTAGACAAACTGACTTTTCTGGATTGATGGCTGGAAGTAAGGAAGAGACCAATAAAGAATCTAGATAAGAAAATAATTAAAATATGGGTATTAGAGTTGTTGTAAATCTTATAAAAGCAGGAGTAAAGTAATGGTCAATTAATTAGAAAAGTAGTGGTTTGAAATACAGATCGGGTTATAGTAGCATCCCAAAAGTTGGCTTGAGATACAAATATAGTGATGGCAATATAGCAAGTATTAATTAGAAAGAAGTACTAAACATGTAGATAAATATATATGTGGGACATGTACCACTCTGTTAGATATACTACAAAGATAAATTGTCTTCCAAATTAGATTGATAGCTAAAGTCTTAAAGTCTTAAGCAGCAAATTACTTTGTAAAGAAAATATATTAGAAGAGAACATATACTATTGGTAAAACCAGAGAGTTTAAATAGATAGCTTCCTAGTTAGGCTATAGATATGATATTTAGTGTAGAACCCTTAGCATAGCACTAACACTTTGAGCAGACTACTTAAATTAAACAACTAAAAGTTGTATGTATAACTAGTTGTACTTTTGTAATACTAATATAATATGTAAAGCTAGCATTCTTAATAATAGTTTACAGAAAAACTCTTTTCAATGATCACTTGAACTATATTTTCTGAAAAATATTTTACCACAAGAAAAGACTTTACAAGCCGGCACTTGATCTAAAAATCTAGACAGTAAGATAGCACCTGTCGTTTAAAAGTAGTTCTCATATGCTACTTGCCGACAGGCTTAGAGTTTATCACTCACTACATAGTCTTGGCACTTGTCATTTAGAGGCAGTTCTCATATGCTACCTGCCAACAAGCCTAGAGTTTATCACTTACCAAAAAAAAGGTTGAGCAGGTGTTGGGCAGTAGGTCTTGACTGTAGAAAAGAAAACTTGCACTCCTTTAAATTGGTTTGAAGCCCAAATGGTTCCTTTTTACTTCCTATCGTTTTTTCTGTCAGTCTCCAAAAAATTTTTTTAAAAAGTGGGGATTTGGCTTACCCCTCCAAAAGATCAGCATTGTTTACTTA